TCAAGGTGAGAGACTCACGAACGTCCTCCAATTGGAATTACTCTAAAATTCATCCATTTGATCACGTTTTGCCCCAAGGAAAGTTAGAAATCCTATATTGAAAATACAATTAAAAGTATCAAATTCTTTCAAATTAATAACCAAAATAAACTAAGATTGGAGAAAAATATCAAGAAGAGGCACCCCTGCAAAGTCAGAACAACTCTGTTGGGTACGTTTAGTTCTGTACATATTATTGATTGGGCCAATATTTTCAACATTGGTACGTTTGATTTTTCAGCATTGATACGTTTGATTGGTACCTTATTTTCTTATAAAATAAATATAATTTTTTTTTGTCAAAAAGATAGATATTTTTTAAAGCCGAATGACAAAGTTTATATCAACTACAAGAATATTAAATAAAAATACAGACCAATTTCATACTAAAGGAACTGGCGCCCATACTTGGTAGCAAACGAAGCTACCTCGTGAACAGCCAAGTTACCTTCCCGCGGAACGAACCCGAACTTAAACAAAATCAAAATGCATAGCTAAATAATCAATATCAAGCAGCACCCCTTCTAATAATGCATCCCTTTCCATCTGTCTATCAATCGTACGAATAAAAGATTGGAAGTCAGATTCCAGCTCCACCTTTGTACAGCCGCTATTTCTACAAAACATCAATGCTGCCCTTACGGCAGCAGCCTTAACTGCAGCGGCAGAACAAAAAATAAATTTCCCCACAGCCCTAGCTCGCTTTAAAATCCCGGCAAAGTCTCTTAACACCCACCCAAAACCACCCAACCTCGTCTTTGAGTTCCAAGCACCATCGCAATTAATTTTCAAAGTTCCAAATTCTGGCTTCTTCTATTAACTACATTGAAAAAGAATCAGAGGGCAATAAGGAATGGAGGAAAATGAAGAATTAGAGAGAGAAACAATTGAAAGAGAACAAGTAGCTCAAAATGCTTTTGATTATTTAATCTGTGCTTTACAAATGAGATACAACCAGACTTGTATAGCTGGGAGAAGGCACACGTGCCTTAAGCTAAATGTTAACAGACTCAACTAACATTTTAACAAACTCTTACAGCTTTAACAATCATTTAACAAACTCTGCTGAGGTGGCCTTTACTACTGATGCTGATGTGGTATTGATACTCAACATCTTCCAACCTCCCTGCACGCCCCTTGCCGACGGAATACTTCCATGATGCCACGGTCCCTGGTTATCAATCTTAACCATCACATCTCTAAACTCACACACCTGCCCCCTCCACAACTCCAAAGCCTCCATTGGATTCTGTTAATCTTCATGAATTGGACTGTATATCTTTATGTAATCTTTCTATAGTATGCAAGAACTAGAGAGAGAAAGTAGAGAGAGAGGAAGGAGGAGAGAAGAGAATTTTCTGTAAAGTATATTTCTTGGGGTGTGCTATCCACACACCTCATTTTACTTCTCACACACCTCTTGATTATTTCTGTTCATTAATCTTCTTTAATTCATCTGATTCAACGGTCGAAAATTAAAAAGGTGTGCGAGAAGTAAAATGGGGTGTGTGGATATCACACCCCTATTTCTTTCTTACTAAGTAATACAACAACCTTGCCTTGTATAGGCAGTTACAAAACTAGTCACTAACTAACCAATACACCAAGATTGTGACAAGTGTCACAATCATGGACCATTGAATATATATTCTAACATCCCCCGCAAGCTCATGCTTTAATGAACTAAGCATCAGATTGATACAATTAGGCCTGGCAATTTCTGACACAACCCGATAACCCGACACGACACAACACGAAATTAACAGGTGTTCGGGTCAACACGATAACGAATCGGGTCGTTATCGGGTAACCCGATAGCACCTGTTAAGATAACGGGTTGATTCAGGTATACATGTCACATCCCTGCCCGGGTCCACCATATCCCGAGCCCGCTCTACTACCGTAGCACGATATTGTCTGCTTTGGGCTTACCATTCCCTCACGGTTTTGTTTTTGGGAACTCACGAACAACTTCCCAGTGGGTCACCCATCCTGGGAGTGTTCTAGCCTCTTTCTCGCTTAACTTCGAAGTTCCTACAGAACCCGAAGCCAGTGAGCTCCCAAAAGGCCTCGTGCTAGGTAGGGATGAGAATATACATTTAAGGATCACTCCCCTAGGCGATATGGGATGTCACAATCCACCCCCCTTAGGGGCCCAACGTCCTCTTCGACACACTTCCGGCCAAGGATTGGCTCTGATACCATTTGTCACATCCTTACCCGGGTCCACCATATCCCAGGCCCGCTCTACCACCGTAGCACGATACTGTCCGTTTTGGGCTTACCATTCCCTCACGATTTTGTTTTTGGGAACTCACGAGCAACTTCCCAGTGGGTCACCCATCCTGGGAGTGCTCTAGCCTCCTTCTCGCTTAACTTCAAAGTTCCTACGGAACCCAAAGCCAGTGAGCTCCTAAAAGGCCTCGCACTAGGTAGAAATGAGAATATACATTTAAGGATCACTCCCCTGGGCGATGTGGGATGTCACAATACACGTGGGTAACACGATACACGATAAGTAGAATATTAATTTAATAATTTTATAACCCTCAATAAGACTATAATTATATATATATATATATATATTAAATTAACTATAATAATTATAATAATTATATATACTATAATAATTATACCCCCAAAATATTAACTATAATAATTATATAAATATATATATAATTTTAAATTAATTTTATACCCCTAAAAACTATAATAATTATACGTACAAAATAAATAGATTTAAATCTACTTAATAAATATATATATATACCATTGAATTTGATGGGATACGAATTATATGAAACTAATTTCAACGATCCAACCGTCAAACTTGTTTGTATATGCTTCGAGATCGCATCATTAAAAAATCACAAAAAGCAAATATTCAGAGATCAAGTAACGAAATAAAACTTTTCGACGGTTATAAAACGAAAAATCACGATTTAACAGTTATTTTAACTCCGATTTTTATGATTTTTTACAGCTACACTCCTTGACCCTATATGAATATAATGAATGAATTCGATCTTCAATTTAAAATATTTACACTAGTGGATTTTATGTTATACTTAATGAAAGTATGAATAAACTCTTAAGTGTTAGTGAATCTATTGTTTTGATGGGATACGCATTCTACGAAACTAGGTTCAACAATCCAACCGTCAAACATGTTTGTATATACTTCAAGATCGTATACGCCAAAATTGTAAAAAATAAACATTTAGAGATTAAGTAACCGAACAAAACTTTTCGACGGTTATAAAACAAAAAAATCACGATTTAATGGTTATTTTAACTTCGATTTTGATTATTTTTTACAGTTACACTCTTTGACCCTATATGAATACAATGAAAGAATTCGATCTTCAATTTAAAATATTTACACTAGTGGATACCACAAAATCTTATGTTATACTTAATGAAAGTATGAATAAACTCTTAAGTGTTAGTGAATCTATTGTTTTGATGGGATACACATTCTACAAAACTAGTTTCAACGATCCAACCGTAAACATGTTTGTATATCGCATACGCCAAAAATTGCAAAAAACAAATATTCAGAGATCAAGTAACAGGACAAAACTTTTCGATGGTTATAAAAAGAAAAATCACGATTTAACGATTATTTTAACTCCGATTTTGATGATTCTTTACAGCTACACTCCTTGACCCTATATGAATACAATGAATGAATTCGATCTTCAATTTAAAATATTTACACTAGTGGATACCACAAAATCTTATGTTATATTAATGAAATTATGAATAAACTCTTAAATTTTAGTGAATCTATTGTTTTGATGGGATACACATTCTACGAAATTAGTTTCAACGATCCAACTGTCAAACATGATTGTATATACTTTGAGATCGCATATGGCAAAAATTGAAAAAAAACAAAAATATAGAGATCAAGTAACGAGATAAAACCTTTCGACAGTTATAAAAGCAAAAATCACGATTTGACGGTTATTTTAACTCCGATTTTGATGAGTTTTTACAGCTACACTCATTGACCCTATATGAATACAATGAATGAATTTGATCTTCAATTTAAAATATTTACACTAGTGGATACCACAAAATCTTAATGAAAGTAAGAATAAACTCTTAAGTGTTAATGAATCTATTGTTTTGATGGGATACGTATTCTACGAAACTAGTTTCAACGATCAACCGTCAAACATGTTTGTATATACTTCAATATCGCATACGCCAAAAATTGTAAAAAAAAACATTTAGAGATCAAGTAACGGGAGAAAACTTTTCGACGGTTATAAAATGAAAAATCACGATTTAACGGTTATTTTAACTCCGATTTTGATGATTTTTTATTGCTACACTCCTTGACCCTATATGAATACAATAAATGAATTTGATATTCAATTTAAAAAATTACACTAGTGGATACCACAAAATCTTATGTTATACTTAATGAAAGTATGAATAAACTATAATAATTATATATATTAATTTAACAATTTTATACCCCTAAAAACTAAAATAATTATATAATATAATTATATATATATATATATATTAAATTATGTGTTTTAATGTTTTGAAGTAATATTTATGTGGCATAGTGTGGTATGTGCAAATTTAAGAAAAAAATATATTTTTCTTAACGGGTCGGGTCACTTTAAAGTGACCCGACCTGTTAAGGACCTGTTAAGATAACAGGTATGACACGACACGACCCGTTAAGATATCAGGTGTTACACGAAAACGAACACGACAGACACGACACGTTTGCCAGGCCTAGATACAATGAGTTCTAAACAAAGGACCACTTAAACCTTTGGTCAATAAATCAGCAAATTGTTCTTAGGACGAAACAAACTGCACTATCAACTGTTCCTTGGCCACCCGTTCTCGAACAAAATGAACATCGATTTCAATATGCTTAGCCTTCTGGTGTTGCATAGGATTAAATGATAGGGGCAATAGCTGACAAGTTATCACAAAAGGACTGGAAATATAGTCACGGGAATATGCAGAAATGCAAGCAGTTGCTTAATCCAGTCCAATTCTGCATAAGTGGAAGAAAGAGCTCTATATTCTACTTTAGTAGATGATCTAGATACAATGTTTTGTTTCTTTGAGGACCAAGATATGGGATTTGAACCTAATAACACAACCAACCCCGTAGTGGACCGTCTGTCATTGGGATCTCCTGCCCAATCTGTATCACTAAAGGCCTTGAGGTGAAGATCTCCTCGAGTATAGGTAACACCCACATTCATAGTACCTTTTAAGTACTTGAGAATTCGTTTTACAGTAATATAATGAGCTAACATAGGTTTATGCATAAATTGGCATACCCGATGCACTGAAAATGCAATGTCAGGCCTAGTGAAAGTAAGATATTGTAAAGCTCCCACAATACTCCTATAAGCACTAGGATTAGCATAAGGATCACCATCATCTTTAAGAAGGCGATTATATGGAAGGCATGGTGTGTCACAGGCCTTTGCTTCAAGCATTTCAGTCTTCACTAACAAATCATGAATGTATTTAGTTTGGGACAGAAACAATCCACTGGTAGTCTTGGAAATCTGAATGCCCAAGAAGAAAATGTAAGGCCCCCAGATCTTTGATATCGAACTCAGTATTAAGAGCACTGATAACCTGTGGAATTGAAGTTGTAGCACTCCCAGTGATGATTATATCATCCACATAAAGCAGAAGGATCACAACTGTATTTTCAACATATTTGACAAACAGAGAAGAATCTGCATATGTATTGACAAATCCCAACTTAGGCAGGAACTTTGCAAATCGATCATTCTAGGCTATAGGAGCTTGCTTCAAGCCATAGAGGTGGCGTACTTATTGCCAATATTGTATGGATTTACATTTATGGGAAAATAATATTCCTATCCTCATCTATGATTACTTTTTGAATAAAACCTTGTTTAAGATTAAAAACTAATTTCAATCATTGGCATTTAATTGTAACTTTTGAATATAAAATAGGTTGTAATAATTATTAAGTTTTTTATTTGTAGGTTATATTGATTCCCATATTTTCCATAAATAATAAAAATGTTATTTATCATTGGTAATTATTATTAAGCTCCCATAATAAGAAAAGTCATATATTATCACATATTTTTCGTTGTGTGTCAATTTCTCCATATATATGTATATACATATTACGTACATATGTATGTATGTTATAGATACTATAGTTACGTATCGATACATTTGTACTGAAAGTTATGTACCGATACATTCATACCTAAATTTACATACGAATACTTCTGTACCTATGAGTAAAATAAGGAATCTAAAGTTATGTACCAATACTTTTGTACCTATGAGTAAATAAGGTACTTAAAGTTATGTAGCGATCCTTCCGTACCTTTGAATAAAATAAGGAACCAAAAGTTATGTACCGATATAAATTAGTTTTGTTTTGTTGTTGAATTTTTTTAATAATTAAGATTTTGAATTTTGAATAAATTTTTATTTATTAATATGATTGGAGCACAAAAAATACATTAGTTATAAATGGGTAAAGAATTTCAAATTGTAAGTTTATAAATAATAAATGTGCTATAATTACTTAAATATGGTAAGTTTTAAAAATATGGACTTATATTAGATTTTGAAAACCATTCAGATTAAAATCTAAAAACAATCTTATGAAAACCTTAAAATCTAAAAACCCTTTTAATTATTTTAAATGCATAAATCACGTTTTCTACAATTCCTATATAATATGAAATATGTTTCATTCCAAATATGTGCAGAAAATTGAATGGCAATTGCTGTTTCAAAAGCACCTCAATCAAAATTGCCATATATACTGTTGATGCACAAAACCGGATGGATCTTGAAACAATGGAAATCCGACCGTGAATCTGTAAGAAAGTAAATAACACAAGATGTATCGTGGTTCACCCAAGGTTTGGGCTACGTACACACTGATAGTGTATTTCTCTGTAAGAGTTTGATTGTGAGGGTGAGAGCATGAGAGAGCTTAGAGCTTAGGAGATGTAAGGAGGCTTTTGTTTGTGAGGGTGAGGAGGCCCTTTTATAGAATAAGGGCTCCTCCTCTTTTTACATATTTGCCCCTCTATTTATTACATAATTACATTTGAGTCCCCCGAGTATTTATACGAGGTCTAAATACGGAGGCCCTAAGTATGGTATAAACAGTAGTCCCCCAAGTCTTCAGTCAAGAGAGTCTTTTGGCTGGAGACTTGAAATTCAGTCCATGTGTGGGCCAAAGTAACTAGATGTCTTCTTGAACTGATACTGGATATGAGGCGGTGCTCAAAGTGAAATGATGCTCAACTAGAAGTAGCACATGTTGCGAGGCTGCTCTGCTTGTGGCTTATGTTGCCTTGGTTGGCTCGGCTTGTGGCGTTAAAGGTGAGAGAGTCCCTTTTATAGAATAAGGGCTCGCTCCTCAATACATAAATGGTGGGCTAGAGTTGATGCTCGCGGCGAGGCGGTTGCTCAGCAAGCAGCGATGCTCTCTAATGATGGTGAGGAAGTCCATTTTATAAAATAAGGTCTCGCTTCTCAGTACATGAATAATTGGTGCTCTCTGATGAAGATGAGGGAGTCCATTTTATAAAATAAGGGCTCGCTCCTCAGTACATGAATAATGGGTTAGGAGTGATGCTCGCAGTGAGGCGGTTGCTCAATTGGCGGCGATGCTCTCTAATGAATGTGAGGGAGTCCCTTTTATAAAATAAGGGCTCGCTCCTTAATACATAAATTGTGGGCTAGAGTTGATGCTCGCGGCAAGGCGGTTGCTCAGCAGGCGGCGATACTCTCTAATGATGGTGAGGAAGTCCCTTTTATAAGATAAAGTCTCGCTCCTCAGTACATGAATAATTGATGCTCTCTAATGAAGGTGAGGGAGTCCATTTTATAAAATAAGGGCTCGCTCCTCAGTACATGAATAATGGGTTAGGAGTGATGCTCGCTGTGAGGCGGTTGCTTAGTAGGCGGCAATGCTCTCTAATGAAGGTGAGGGAGTCCCTTTTATAAAATAAGGGCTCGCTCCTCAATACATAAATAATGGGCGAAGTCCCCCAAGTATTTTTCATGAGGCCCAATTGAGGCCCAATATATAGTACATAATGTAGTCCCCCAAGTCTTCGGTCAATAGAGTCTGTTGGCTGAAGACTTCAAATTGAATCCATGTATGGGCCGAATTGGCGGTTGTTCGAAGACGGTATTTGTATACCCTGCACTGAAGCTTTGTAGGTGAAGCTTTGCAAGTGAAGCTTTGAAGCTAGAGCTTTGTAAATGAAGCTTTTGAAGCTAGAGCTTTGTAAATGAAGCTTTTGAAGCTAGAGCTTTGTAAATGAAGCTTTTGAAACTAGAGCTCTGTAAATGAAGCTTTTGAAGCTAAAGCTCTGTAAATGAAGCTTTTGAAGCTGGAGCTTTTGTAAATGGAGCTTTTGAAGCTAGAGCTCTATAAATAAAGCTTTTGAAGCTGGAGCTTTTGTAAATGAAGCTTTTGAAGCTAGAGCTTTTGTAAATGAAGCTTTTGAAGCTAGAGCTCTGTAAATGAAGCTTTTAAAGCTAGAGCTCTGTAAATGAAGCTTTCGAAGCTGATTGACATGAGTGATGCTCATGGATGTTGACATGAGTGATGCTTATGGATGTTGACATGAATGATGGTCATGAATGTTTATGTATGATTGACATGAGTGATGCTCATGAATGTTTATGTATGATTGACATGAGTGATGCTCATGTATAATTTTGGAGTACTGGACGTACTTTTGATCACCTGGTTGGTGATAATAGCGGCAGGCTGCCGAATAATTTTAGAGTACTTGGGCGTACTTTTAATCACCTGGTTGGTGATAATAGTGGCAGGTTGCTGAATAAATTTGGAGTACTGGGCGTACTTTTGATCACCTGGTTGGTGGTAATAGCAGCAGGCTGCCGAATAAGTTTTTGTAGTACTGTGCGTACTTTTGATCACCTGATTGGTGATAATAGAGGGCATGGCTTTTTTGGGCATATGGGCATTCGCCCTCCACATAACATTCCAGCCCATTATTTTGGGCTTGCCCTTTTTTTTTTATTACCCTCTGATGGGGTTTATACAGATGTTTCCGAAAGATAAGGAAAATAAATTACATCATTCAAAAATAAATCTGATCCTCTGCTCAATGGGTCACGCCCATAATTCCCTTTTCTGCATGCCATCACCATCGCATGATGTTTGCTTCTTTGTATCTTCTTTTACTTTCTCTTTTGCTTTCTGCTTTTGCTTTTCTTTTTTCCTTTTTTTTCAGAAAAGAGGAACATGCATGATTCAGAAGTTAGTGGTCGACAGTTGGTTTTCAAAAAATAGGCAGGTTCATGATGAAGAATCTTATCTTGTCCCTTTGCCCATGCTGTCCATGACCCAATCACTGCTGGCCTTGACCCCAGCCTTGGCCGACTCAGAGAGCTCAACCTTGACCCTGGTGTCATGAGTGGCTATGTCTGCAACTTGGGAAATGGTGAGGCTGCTGAAAAATGGTCGTGGCTGCTGAACAGTAGGACTTGGTAGGCCACTAATTACTAGACCACCCATCTCGAAGGCGAAGAGAAGGACGACGATGTCTCTTCGGCCGAAAAATCCATGGCTATACCGTCGCCCTCCACCATGACTCGTCGTCGTCGTCATGAAAGTAGCACAAAACCAGGTGAATCACCTGCTTTCTATTCCAGTCATATACATGAATACTTGCTACTGGAACAAGCTGAAGTAGCACAAAACCTTTCTGGGAAAGAGCTACCTCATCAATTTAAAGGGGTGAACTCTGGAGCTTTGGGCTATCCAGTAAGAGCTGCATTTCCTTTGTATATCGAGTGACCCAAGTAAATCCTAGGTGTCATCCCAGTCACTCCGACAGGAGTTTGCAAAGCAGGAGAAAGCTTGTTCGGGGAAGCGGCGGTGCTGGTTCTCTGCTGGTCGAAATACTCTGACTGGTGACATTTCAAGGGGAGCCTATTCGTCGACGAGCTCATACTCGGACCAAAGCCGAATGTGTTAGTGTTGAATTAAAGTATGAAATTAAATTTCTAGCCGAAAAATAAATTAAGCATACTAGAATCCGACCAATATTTTTCGTCTGGATCGTCCGCCTCTGGTCCTTGTGTCTCAGCCGCCTTTGATCTTTGTGCCTCTGCCGCCTTCGATTCTTCTACCTCTGCAGCCTCTGATTCTTTTGCCTTTGCAAGCCGTGGTTGTTTAGTAGGCCGCATCGGTTCGTGATCAGGACAGATCCAGCCGGATTCGAGTGTCTAGGGCAGCATGGGTGTGTCTCTGTGAATTAGAGAGAGATCAGGAAATCTAGGGTTTGCTCTTGTGGTGAAAGTGAGAGAGGTGTCGGGTCGCATGTTGAACAGGATGCGGCTAAATTCTCGGACCGCTGTCGGGACGTCGGCCCCAACGGCCAGAGGCGCGAAGCCATGGACCCATGCCTCGTAATTGGCCTCCATTGCCGAAAACACCTTCTCAATCTCCTCCTGCTCGAATCCTCCATGGTATTCTCGATCGTTTAGAAACCTCGGAGAAGCACCGGTGAGTACGAGCTTGCAGAAAGGTTCGGGGCGGTGGATGGAGGCGAGGATACCAATCGTGGCGGAGGCGTTGACACGTGCCAAATGTTGATGGCGTCAAATGGACAAGAGCAGCTGAGAGATCTTTATCTTTAACGGCAAGATGGACAAAAGCAATGTCCATGGTGTTGTGCTTGTCGGAGGATCCACTTGTATTCCCAATTTGGTCCTGATGCATGCTGAGAGATCTCGATCTTCAGAAAAGGAAAAAAATGAGAACTTTAAAAAGAAGAAAACAGAGAATCTTTAGGGCTCTTTTAGGGGATGACATGATAGCTTTATGTTTGTGGGGGTTTTTTGGGAAAGCCCAAGGAGGTTTTGGGTTTCTGCAGATTTTGCAAATCCACGGCGGAGGTGAAAAAATGAAAAAGAACCGACATAGTTTTTTGTGTCGTTTCCCACAGACGACGCCAAATGTTGATGCACAAAATCAGCGATGACTTTGGTACAACAGAAAGTGTTAAGTTTGTGACATTCGCTAGATTGCTCCGGTCACTAGTGTGGATAAGTATGTAAATGGATAGGGACAGAGAAGCAAACACAAGATGTACGTGGTTCACCTAGATTGGCTACGTCCACGGAGTAGAGGAGTTCTCATTAATTATGAAGGGTTTACACAAAGTACATAGGTTCAAGCTCTCCTTTAGTGAGTACAAGTGCATGATTTAGTACAAATGACATTAGGAAATATTGTGAGAGAAAGATTTCTATTTATAGAAGAGAGTTTCTAGTTTCATTCTGACATTGACACGTGTCGTGTTGTGATTGACTTCTGATGTTGACACGTGTCGTGCTATGATTGGCTTCTGATGTTGGCACATGTCGCGCTGTGATTGGCCTCCTGGTTGGAGGGAAACTCTTCTAAGTCCTTGATGGCATAACGTTGATCGGTGCTCAGTAGTTTCAGGATTGGTCAAGTATGGTACAAACAGTGCTCCCCTAAGTTCCTGAGTGAGGGAAGCTCCTCGGTTAGGGACTTGAAAGATCCAAGCCACTGAGTAATCACAAAACTTCTAAGTATCGAAGTGTGGTATCGTATTCACTTACCTTATCTGTCTCATAGGTAGATGTGACATCTTCTTTGGAAGTACTTTTCCTCCATCTAGGGGTGGTATCTTTAACCGATGAAGATGCACAAGGTAATATATCAATTTCACTTGAAACTTACTTGTAGTTTCGGGCTTGGTCAAGTGCGATATAATCCCTATAGTAGGAGTCCCCCAAGTCACCGAGCTAGGAGATTTGCCGAATGAGGTAACATACAAGCTAAGCAATCAGACTTCCAAGTAAGCAACCTGGATTAGAGGTTCGACTTCAGCTTTCGGTTGATTGTTCTCCTTCTCTTTGTGTCGTATATAGCAATAAGGATAAGGAGAAGCAAATGGAGAAGAGATGATATGAGATACTTTTGCTTTTGAAGAAGTAACTTTCCACAAGCTTATTCTTGAACTGAGTTGGAGGGTTTTCTGGTTTCCTCCAGAGTCTAAGGTGACTCAAGAATTTAAGGGTCAAAACAAGTCCATCAAATTTAGAGTACGTTCGACCCTGATGATATGGGATATTTTTGCTGTTGACAAAGTAGTGGATGTATCGGCACGTGTTCTGTTACGCTTGTCTCCACATGCTTCCTTGTATCATTCTCACTTGTCCTATATGTTCCTCAGGCAGATGTGGTATCTTCTTTGGAAGCATAAAATGTTGAAGATGAGTACTCGAGAGCAATGCCAGGTAAGTAATCAAGCAAGGAGTTCCAAGTAGTTAGTTCCTGACTGGAAGCTTGATTCCAAGTGCTGACTGATTGCTCTCTTTCTCATTTCCTTACAGGTAAAAACAAAGCCAAAGGAAAAGACAGGGAAAAAGCATGATATGGGATACTCTTGCTTTTAACCTTGATGATATGAGATACCCTTGCTCTGGTGTGGCTTGTTTGCAGAGGTATTATCGCGGGGAAAAGAAGCTGAGTATTTCGAGAGACTCTACTGAAAGTGCCCTCTCGGATGTGAAGAAAAGTTGAGCATTTTTTTAATTTACAGGTCTGCCTGGCTGTGGAGGATGAAGGTCGACATATATTGGAGTCTCCCTAACAATAAGTAGTAGTGCTGTTCCTTTACCCTTCTTGGTTATAGCAATGTAGTGGGAGCTGCAAGCTTCACGTGTTTTAACTTTGTTAGAGCACTTTGAAAAAGTGGTATGTGGTATCTGGAAAGCTGATATTGCTTGTGAAGATTGCAGACAAGCTTTATCCAAGGAAATCTGGCTCTCAATGTTCAGAGAGCGGTGTCTCTTCAATTTTTTAGAAAGCAATCATGTTGAGAGTCGGGCTCTTGAGATTCGGAGAGCAGTATCTCTTCGATTTTTGAGAAAGTAATCCTGTTGGGAGTCTGGCTTTTGAGATTCGGAGAGCGGTGTCTCTTCAATTTTTGATAAAGTAATCTTGTTAGGAGTCTGGCTTTCGAGATTTGGAAGGCGGTGCCTCTTCAATTTTTGAGCACGTAATCCTCTTGGGAGTCTGGCTCTCAAGATTCAGAAAGCGGTGCCTCTTCGATTTTTAAGCAAGCAATCTTATTGGGAGTATTTTCTTGAATGTGAGTAAAGGTTAGGCATTTTTGCCAGTCTACCTTGCCACAGAGCACGGAGCACAAAGGTTGACACACATTGGGACTTTCTAGTTATCAAGCAATGGTGCTGTTCCTTTACCCTTGTGGGTAATAGTAGGGTAGCTGGACCTTCAAAATTTATGTGTCTAAACTTTGTCAGAGATCTTTGGAAAAGTTATTTGTGGTACCCGAGGAGCTGATGTTGCGTGTGGAAAGTGGTGCCTCTTCGGAATCCGGAGAATGGTGCCTCTTCAATTTTTGAACCAACGGCCCTGTTGCCCTTTCTTTTATAAGGGCACCAATTGTGTGCAAGAAGTACATTCAGAGAGTTATTACTTGTAGGAATTTTCCCCTTACTTCAGAGATTTATTGCACCTCATTTCTCTTTCATTATTTCTGAGAATGTCTGGCCCATCCGACCGTCATTTTGACTTGAACTTTGGTAAAGAGGCAGTCATGCCTTCTCAAGACAGCATATGGCGCCTATCTTTCTTATCCCTTACTGGTCCTCTTACCGTTGGGGACTCTGTCATGAAGAATGATATGACCGTTGCGGTGGTGGCCAGGAACCTTCTCACTCCCAAAGATAACAGACTACTTTCCAAATGGTCTGATGAGTTGGCTGTTAAGGATTCTCTGGCTCTCAGTGTTCAGTGTTCAGTATACAGGTTCTGTGTCTAATATGGCCCAATGCCTATTTGCTCGAACCTGCCAAGTTAAATCATTGGCAGCTGAAGTGATAAGTCTCAAACAGGAGATGAGAGGGCTCAAGCATGAGAATAAACAGTTGCACAGGCTCGCACATGACTATGCTACAAACATGAAGAGGAAGCTCGACCAGCTGCAGGAATCTGATGGCCAGATTTTACTTGATCATCAGAGGTTTGTGGGTTTGTTCCAAAGGCATTTATTGTCTTCATCTTCTAGGGTTGTACCGTGTAATGAAGCTTCAAATGATCAACCTTCGGTGCCTTCTCCTTCTGGGGTTCTGCCTAGTACTGAGGCTCTGAATAATCACCCTCTGGTGCCTTCTCTTTTTGGGGCTCTACCGACTGCTGAGACTTCTCCTGAGCAATCTTTGTGAAGGCTCCCTCTTGTTTGTTTATTTTGATTCATGTATATGTACATATTTGTAACTTATCAGAAATATCAATAAACAAGCTTTACTTCATTTCAACGTATTGTGTTAAATACATCAAGGCCTTCTTTACTAAGTTCTTTGAATTTTTCCTTTTGTTAAAGCTTGTATGTTGAAGCTTTGTGAGTAAAGCATGTAGGTTGAGGTAGTGCTCCTTTAATTTCTTGAGTGAGGAAAACTTCTCGGTTAGAGACTTAAAAAAATCCAAGTCACTGAGTGGTTGTGAGACTTCCGAGTATCAAGGTGCTAGTATATGGTTATAGTCCCCCAAGTCTCCCGTTGAGGGAGTTGACGAATGAGGTGTCTTGCTAGTAGCCAAGTTTCCAA